AGAGAGAGAGAGAGAGAGAGAGAGAGAGAGAGAGAGAGAGAGAGAGAGAGAGAAGCTGGTACTAGTCTTGGTTCTCTTGGTTAACCGCTCTACTGACAGCCATGGCTTGACCATTAATTGTTTCACTCTTAGCTCTCATTATAGGATTCTGCTTGCTCAACTTCCTACTTATCTATGTAAAACAGAAAATAAACTCTGTTAAACTACTAATGCTAAAAAGACAATATAACACCCTGACCCCAGGTGAATCCCTGATGTGACTCATGCCCGTGGAACACATAGGGAATATAACAGACTCCCAGGCCTTAGCACAACTGACTCCATGATGGAAATACCATTCAGACTATAAAATTCAACATGTAGAGAGTAACACCTGCCAAAACAAAAACCAAAACCTAGTCCATCAAAGCCCATAGTTCTGGGAAAGTCTCTAAATGTACTAACCTTCCTTTTTGGTTTCTGTAGTTCCACCTCTGGCTGACTGTTCATGTTAACTGAAGTGTGTCAACCCAGAACATGTTTTTTGTGCTTAACATCTCACCCTGAGAAAGGCTTGGTGCTATGCTGGGATCCAGAACACCCAATGTAGCTGTTATCCTGCTAATAAAGACTTTCTATTGGCCTAAACTGATATCCAACTAGTCTTCTCTGGTGGATACCCCACAACACTCCAACATCTTGGGGTCTCCAACACAATCCAGTCTTCACCATCACAGCTTCACACAATGACCTCTCTAGGCCTCCATGCAGGGACACTCCTTGGTCTCTGTGGCTTTCCTTAGCCTTAAAGAGAGATTCCATAGCCCCTTTCTTGTATCCTAGTAGCTAAAGCCAGAACCATGAGGCAGAAGCTGCCAAGTGCCTGCTTGCTGGGGCTCGAACTTGGCACCCTGGTTCAAATACACCTGCATCAGCTTTCTACTGTTAATGGTTTCTGTCACTACTTAAGTTTTTCTTTAATTCCTTTCTACAAGTTGGAAGTTTAGCTGGATGGGGTCTTGCCCCAAGGTCACCTACTACCTTTATTCCATTTAGCATCCGACTTTCCTTTAAACTTTTTATCCCCTTGAACACTGAACTTGGCTCCAACATTACATCCTGGTGTTCCTTTCCTCCCCAAACTGTACATTTCTGTAATTTTCCCTGTTCAGTTTGTTCCTTTTCATTATAGATCTGTGCAAGAGTGACCAATAATAACCATGTGTCACAGTCAATACCAGGCTGTCTTGAAATCTCCTCTGCTAATGCTATTAATCCAAAACTCTGCAATTTAGCCTCAGGCAGATTTTCAGGACAAGTGCAGAAAAGCAGCCACATTCACTCAGGATGCAGCTCTTAACTCCTTCTCCAGCTCCATGCCGGCTGCCACGCTTCCCGCCGTGATGATAATGGACTAAGCCTCTGAAAGTGTGAGCAAGCTCCCAGTTAAATGCTTCTTTTGTGAGAGTTGCCTTCCTTGGTCATGGTTTCTCTCCACCGCAATAGAAACCCTAGCTAAGAGGAACAGGTTTTGCTCCTGAAGGAATCCGTCCATTTCGTTATCTCATGGGTGAAATCTTTCTCTGTTTTCATCCCTGCAGCCTTCCCATCTCACTCCCTTCAGTTCTCTGCGGCTGTCCAGTCATTTGTTCACAGTAAGTGATTATCATCTGTGTCCTCCCAGGATGGACCCCGTGAAGACCCATCATGCTTTACTGTCTCTCACAAGGTCTGTTTAGAGAGCAGTGAAGTCTCTGAAGCCCTGGTGTGCAGAAAGAAGCCTGTGGACGAGCAATTACAGCTTTGTCTCTCTCCTGCAGGTTAATGTGCTGATTTGCTTTATTTCAACGAGTGGAATCAAATCTAAGCAAGTAAGTGAGAGCCAAACATAATTTATTTAACTGTCCGAACCCAAAAATGAATGGCCTAATTTTTAGGTATAATTCACTTCTGAGAGGAAAATACCTCTCTCCTTGGAGGTGGAAGCAAAATATGATCTTATGGAAGTAAGAGAAAACCAGGGGGAAAGGAGAGAAATTAACTGCAATGTGAAAGCAGAATTTTCTTTTTCTTTTTTTCTTTCTTTCTTTCTTTTTCCTTTGAGATAGGTCTCACTGTGTAGACCTGGCTAGCCTGGACTCACTATGTAGACCAAGCTGGCTTAGAATATGGGCTGTTGCTCCTGTCTACACCACTGCTACCCAAGTGCTAGCATTACACGCACAAGCCACCACACCTAGCTCAGAGCACTGCTCTGGAGTGTCAGTGTCTACCTGCTTAACTAAGCCTTTCTGCTGAAACCATATCCCGCCAACTCCGCATACTGGGTGCAGGCTTATGTTCCCTCTGTTCCACTCTTCTCATCCCCCATCCATCACACACATCCAAACTCTCAAGGCCTGTTGGTCTTACCTCCCCCAGCACAAACATGTACCTTACTTTCCACGCTTCCGTGGTAACTCTTCTGGTCAGCCTTCACTGCACCCCAGACCACTGCTGTGACTTTCCAACTGTCCACTGTCGGTCTCACCCTTGTCCAATCCACTCTGTTTTTAGCAGCCAGAGGAGATATCTGATGGAGGGAAAACATGGGTGTGAGATTATAAAATTAAGAGAAAATTGGAAATGTCTGGATGCGTTTAAGATCATAAATGCATTCTGCGACCATCTTGCTTAGAGCTGTTAAAAAAATCTCCCAGACAGCCTGCACCTCAGAGTGCTCGTGAGAGAGGAAGAAAACCCACCATATATATTATATATGGCATTTCTATGGCTTATTCTTAGAGCACGAATTCTAATTGGTCTTATAATGAAAACCTGGAACCAGATATTGGGGTAAATGCTGAAAGATCAGTAAGACAAAGGAGCCAGGCACTAGGGAGACTTCTCACCTCTATCAACTCTTCAGTCAGAAGCGGGTGAGATCCTGTCTATACGAATCCTCAGACTGAATGGGCTGAGATCCTGTCTTTACCCACCTTATATTCCTGTCTCCACCTCCCTAGTGCTGGGATTAAAGGTGTGAGCCACCCCCACCACCTGGCTCTGTTTCTCTTTTAGACAGACTCAATCTCATGTAGCCCAGGGTGGCCTTGAACTCCTGATCTTCCTGCTTCCTCCTCCTAAGTTGCTGGGGTTAAAGGTGTGTGCCACCACTGCCTGGCCTCTAGCGGCTGGCTCTGCACTCTGATCTTCAGGCAAGCTTTATTTATAAGAGCACAGATTCTGGTTCACTTTATTCTACTTGATACAAGGCCTGACTATGTAGCCCAGGCGTACAACTGATGATTGCCAGCCTCTGCCCACAAGTGCTAGGATTACAGGGGTGGACCACCATACCCAGTTCCGATTTTAAAATGAATGTCTGCTTCCCCCCACCCACTCTCCCTATCTATTTGCCATGAGGTCAGGAACTGTTTGTTCTGTTCTCTGAGGAAAGTCAACACAGGCAGAATCCTGGCGCATCCTAGGCATCCTATAAATACACATTTGAAAATGAGTGAAGGCGGCTATTCTGAAATCACCCCTTCAGTCCACTCAAAGTCTACAGATGTCAGCAGGAGTTAAGTATTAAATGCACCTTTGATTCATGGATAGCAGTGAACAGAGAACTCAAAGAAGTAGGCACCCAAGGGTAGTTGAAAATCGATTTTGCTAGCTGACAGAACTTATTCAAGGCCTTACAGTCTTTAGCTTTAATTTTCCTACACTTGCCTGGCATGGTGGCACATGCCTGTAATTACAGTACTCAGAGGCAAAGGCAGGCAGGCCTCTAGGAGTTTGAGACTATCTGGATCTCTATGGCGAGTTCCAGAACAGCCAGGGCTACATAGGAAGACTCTGTCTGTGTGGAGGTGGGCAGTGGGGGGGGGGGTGTTCTATACTAGTTTAGCTTAAAATTTCTCCTGAGACTTGGGCAAGCGCTTTCTGAGAACAAAGGACGTCACCAAACGGGTGTCCATCATCCATGTTCCTAGTTGGTCATGAATAGAAATGTCCAGGGTGACAATGCAGAGTGAGAGAAAAGGATCTATAGCCAAACACTGAGAAAATGCAGAGCTTACTGGGGTCCACGCTCGCCTTTCCTACTCATTTTATCCTTTTGCTTTTTCAGACTTTTGATAATGTGCAAAACTTCATTTGTATTAAGAATGTCACTCAGGTAGTAAATGTTTTTCTTGTCCCATTGCTTACCTTTGTATTGTTTTTTGTTTGTTTGTTTGTTTTTGTTTTGTTTTTCGAGACAGGGTTTCTCTGCGTAGCTTTGAGCCTTTCCTGGAGCTCACTTGGTAGCCCAGGCTGGCCTCGAACTCACAGAGATCCGCCTGGCTCTGCCTCCCGAGTGCTGGGATTAAAGGCATGCACCACCACCGCCCGGCTGTATTGTTTATGATACTCTGAAATACAACAAATTTCATTTGATTTGATTTTTAGGAGGGTACATTCCTCCAACTACTTTTTGCCACCATTCTGAAGATACTACAGGTTGTAAACCGTTCATTCATTAAGTTCACCTGTTTACAAATTTACTAGTCATTCTGCACAAAAATGTCAGGCACTGTGCTAGGAACCAAACAAAATCGACATCATGCCTTATCTTCACAGTTTGTTATGAGACCTGTAGACCTTTGATGTATAATCACTTATGAGTATACAACTGCACAGACCAGTGTTGTTACTATGCCAGCATGCGGAATACAGTTTGTATAGTGTGAAAATACAGTTTCCCAAAATTGTGAAATCTGCTAAGAGTCAGCAGCCCTTTGGTGGCAGAAGCTGCCACTCTTGGGCTGGTTCTTTCTGTGCACACCACTGCCTCCACCCTGTTCTCTCATACTTCCATCCCAGAATCACAACTTGCGTCCATCTCCCCACTGAAAGCGCACTGCATGCCTATTGGAATGCCCGCGATGCAGACAAGACCAAATGCTGGAGGGGATGTAGAGTGACAGGAATGCTCATTCTGGTGGGACGGTGGGAATGCACAAAGAACAGCAGTTTGGAAGAGTTCAGCAGTTTCTTATGAAACCAAGCATCCTCTTGGCACACTGCCAGCAATTGCACACATTGGTGTTTACCAGATTGGTTGAAAACATATCCATCAGCCTATACAGGAGGATTGCTGGTTTGAGGGCACACTGGGTACAGAGCAATAGCCTGTCTGAAACAGACAAACATACAACCCCCAATGTTTACTGGATGCTTAATTCATAATTGTCAAATCTCAGAGGCAATCAAGACATCTTTTTTAGATTTATTTATTTTTACTGTGTATGTGTATGTTTTGCCTTCATGTATGTCTGTGCATCATGTGCATGTCTGGTGCCCGTGGAGACCAGAAGAGGGTGTCAGATTCCTGTAACTGGAGTTACAGATGGTTGTGAGCTGCCATGTGTGTGGTGGGAATCAAACCCAGGTCCTATAGAACAATAGCCAGTGCTTTTAACCACTGAGCCATCTCTCTAGCCCCCAAGATGTCCTTTAGTAGTTGAATAAACTGTTATCTCCAGAAAATGGATTCTTTCTCAGCACTGTGTTTCATAGCAAAAAGAAATGAGCTATGAAAGCATAAAAAGACATGGAAGAAACTAAGGCACATATTACTAAGGGAAAGAAGCCAGCCTGAACATGTAGCACTCTGTGTGATTCCCATACACAACCCTGGAAAAGGCAAAGCAGAAACACGATCCACAACAAGCAGGAATTTGTAATGAAAACATATTGTACAATATGATAATGGTGGATGCATGTCATTGTGAATGTGTCTGTGTGGAAACCTGCAGAATGCAGACACCTAAAGAGGTCCCTAATGTAAGCCATCCTTGTGAATGATAACGAAGTGTCAATGTGAGTTCATTGATTATAACAGAAGAGGAGCTGTGTGTATAGGCCGGAGGGCATGTATGAGAAAGTTCTCTACGTTCTGCTCTATTAAGCCGGGAACACAAGACTGATCTAAAAATATTTGTGCAAAGGCACAGAGAGAGAGAGAGAGAGAGAGAGAGAGACAGAGAGAGAGAGAGAGAGAGACAGAGAGAGAGAGACAGAGAGAGACAGAGACAGAGAGAGACAGACAGAGAGACAGAGAGAATTACTAGACAAGTTATATGATCTCCGTGTCTCAGTTTCCTTACTCGTTAAATGGAGGTAAATATTGTAACTATTTCACCTGTCATTTTAAGGATTGCAGAGCTGATATGTATGAGGTGTTCACAACAGGGTCTGGTATATAGTATTCAACTGATAGAAGGGGCTGTTCTTACTCGGGATATTAGATACAATACATTCATGGGCAGCTCTTAAACTGATTAGGAGTGTTAGCACTATAGAGCACAAAGTGCTATGAAGAGTTTTAAAGAAACCATGTAGTTGAAGGGATCGGAAAATCTTTATGCGAGGCTTGGGGCACGGGAAGATTTTGAAGTACAGAAAATTGAATTTGGGGTCAAAAGGATAGACTTCTGGGGCCAGTGACACAGCTCAGGCAAGGATGCTTGTCTCCAAGCCAGATGACCTGAGTTCCGTCTCCAGAACCCATGTGGTAGAAAAAGAGAACAGAGTCCTCTGCAAGTTTTCTTCTGACCTCCACATGTGTGCTGTGGCACCAACATACAGGCAAAGTGATAGTTAATTAAAATAAATCACTCCTGGCTATCAGAGGCTTCGGTACATTTCACACTAATACACTTATTTGTGGTTCTCTCTGCAAGGTGTGTCAGCCTTATCCATGTTCATTCATATACTGATAGTGTCACATCCATCTTTTGTGAAGTCTTTCCTTGAAATTGCCTGATTCCCATCTGTAATTCCGGGCAGCAGAGTTACAATTTTATAAAATTAAAGCTCCAGTCAATGCAAATTTAGCCTCGGGATATCTATAAAAACATGAACCAGTGAGTCTCAGAGGTCATGGCATCCAATATAACGTAACTACATCTGAGACAGATGTGGAAGTCATGGTTTCTGCTCTTGGGGGAGAGAAAGTTGTAAGTGAATATGGAAGATGCATCACTCTGTTGTAATTGCAAATGCTCACTACTCTATCACAGTGGCTTTGAATAGGAACCCCGGGCTGCTGCATAGGACCCAGCCAGAAGTTGAAGTGAAGGCCTGATTTCTGTGGTATGTGTTTCTAGTTTTTAAAATCTGCAGAATTCTATCTTGTGGCTTGGGAGCTTAGGAGAGAAGTACATTTTATTTGGCATTCATCCCAAAGATTAACAGTTAGTGAATAAAACTTCATCACTGGCTTAGACAATTCTCAAGGGAGGAAAGAGAAACACATGTCTGAAAATTAGATCAGAAGTGTGATTTAATAAAGCATGTTTCTAAGTGATTTTTTTTCTTTTTAAAAATTTGGTAGGTTGCATAAAAGAGAAATCAATCCATTTGGTTTTGTTTCTATTTTAATTGTTAGTCTTCTAATCTTGTAGCTTCAATGTATACACACACACACACACACACACACACACACATGCAAACACAATCTTGCTGCCCTCTGAGGAAGATCCTCTCTAAGTTGGGCTCTGGATAGCCAGGGTCTTCTTTCCCAGGGGGGCACTGACAGCTTGTTCAGTGATATTGAGGCTCCCCAAAGCTCACCTTCCTTTGATGAGGGCTGTGCTTGGGGGAAGAAGGGTTTCCAGAGACGAAAGACCCAGGGTCACTGACGGGAGAGTGAATTAGTGAAGACCCACCACCCCAATCATGACCTTGGGAACCCAGAGAAGAATCTAGTGTCCAAACTCAGAGTTTGTACAGTACAGCCGAGTGTGAACAACCAGGGCACAAGGTCACACACACACACAACACTGTTTCCCACAAGCAAGTCCCCTGGATGGTCTCAAGGAGAGGATTCCCAATGACTTTGGTCAACAATGCCGACAAAACCTCCCAATGGTTGAGCCTTAGGAAGCCCGTCTTATACCATATAAGAATCTCTGGGTATGATTTTACTTGTGTAAGTTTTTACAACTTTTTTTTTTTTTGAGACAGGATATCACTATATGCTTACCATATAAAACGGTCTAGCCTCAAACTCACAGAGATCCCTCTGTCTCTACCTCCTGAGTGCTAGGATTAATGTACCACCACACCCTGCTTAGAGATTTATTCATCTTTTATTTTTTAAATTGTATGTGTATTGATGCTTTGCCTGCATGTCTGTGCACTACATCTGTGCCTAGTGCCCAGGGAGGCCAGAATAGGCCACCAGGTCCCCTGCAACTGTAGTTACAGACAGTTGTGAGTCATCATGTGGGTGCTGGGAACTGAGCCCGGGTCCTCTGGAAGATCAGCCACTGAACCATCTTTCTAGCCCCAGGATTTTGTTTATATGTATGTGTATTTTGCCTGCCTGCATACATGCATATGGTACACATACATGCAGTGCCCGTGGAGGCCAAAGGAGGGCTTCAGAAACCCTTGGACTGGAGTCACGTAAGTGCTGGGATCCAAATTTAGATTAGATCCACTGAAGGGCAGCACATGCTCTTAATGACTGAGCTGTCTCTCCAGTCCTTTGTGGTTATTTTTCTAGGTGTAATTCACTTAACTTTTACGTTTGGTTCTACTCTCTGTGGGAAATGGGCATATCATGAACACCATTCTGGGCTCATTGTCTGTAAATGTGATGGAGTTGTTTGTTGTTTTTTGAGACAGGATCTCACTGAGTAGCTCTGACTGGAGTGGCAGTCACTATGAAGACCACAGTGGCCTCAGACTCAGAGATCCACTTGCCTCTACTTCCCAAGCTCTGGGATGAATGGTGTGCACCCATGTGCCCAGCTTGGTAGAGGTTTTTAAAGGCTGTGCAAACTGTGCACATTACTAAAGACAAACAATGATACTTAATACAAACAATGAGCTCTGGTGATCAGAAAGTGACAGTTTAGCTAACTTACATTCTAACATGTACGTATCATTTATTATATCTATACATGTCACTCTTTGGCATTTCATTTAGGAAATATTTAGGCATTTACCGATAGCCATCACAGATTTTTTTTTCCAGTTAAAATGATGACAAATGGAAACCAATCCGTGATGTTTGCAGTATCCCTTTCAGTACTGGGTCACTCGTATTCAGAAGGACCAGTGATGTCTGTAAGATCCCTTTCAGTACTGGGTCACTCGTATTCAGAAGGATGCTGTATACTCACATGATGCTGTGATGGGCAGCTCCCCAGTAAAACGGGACATCATGTGTACTAAGTGGGTAGAAAGCGCTTCTCTGCAAAAGCCCAAAAGAAGAGCTGCTGAGGGGGTGTAACTAGGATGGGAGGGGCTTAGGCTGACAGTCCATGTGACCTTTCTTACGCTACCCTTTACCAGCGGCCTTTAAACCTGCCTTTTTTTTTTTTTTTTTTTTTTTTTTTGACTGGGCTGTACCCATAGAACCAGGGGCCTCTTTATTGAACAACTTTATCCCCCCCTTATTTTTAGGACAAATCAAAAATACAGACACAGCTGCCGAGTACCTCAGTAAGCCATTTATGAAACTCATTGATAAAGAAAATACCAAAACAGAAGACACGTTTCTCTCTCCTCTGGTCTGAACCCCTTTTTACATACCATGACGTACCCCCACCAGGCTCTGGCTGCCTGGCCAAGCTTCTCGAAGCAGCAGGCTGCTGAGGACGTCTGCTGGCATCTGTGTCAGGGTGGAGGACCTGGCACTGGGAGATGTAGAGACAGCTCCTTCAGTAATTCTGACATGCACTGTCATTCGATGGCGCGATTGGCGGAGGGCCCACATTGCCATCCATCTCCAAGTTTGTGCTGGGGTCAGACTGCGGTGGGCGTCTCATAGCCGTTAACCAAGTTCCGCACCGACAGCAAGTACCAAGACAGGCCCAGTCCCAGAGACACAGGCCGCTGGCTCATGCTTTAGCTGGAGGAGCCCTGACAGCCGTGGCTTGTGCCCCACCTCCCTTCGCCACCTTCCACATGGCGAATTAGGCTGGGGTGGCCGCGTGACAGCTCTGCCAGCCCGTCTGCCTGCCTTCCGGATTTCTCTCCTGCAGGTGTTTCCCCTAATAAAATCCTTCCACGTTGAGCCGCTGACATTCTGAGACCCAGGATAAGACACTTAAGTTAGGAACCACGGATTCTCGGGTTGCTTGGCACGGCCTCAGAAATAGAAAGCTTGTAAGAGTTGTGTGTGATCTTCAGAAGAGTCCCCCCGCCAGGCGGCTGCTTTTGGATGACGTGCCAGCTACTCTTGATAGCCGGCCTCCGGTTGGCTCTGCCTCCTTAGCTTCTCAGCCCTGATCCAGCTACTAGTATCCTGATCTAGCTACTGCCCTCTACAGCACTCAGAGATCTTTAAATAAAGCAACTGGATTCTTCTATACATCCCCCTTCCCCTGAAAAACACTTGTTCTTCTGTTGTAGTTTTGCCCAATTGAGGGGTTTGCTTATTTTTAAACAAGACTAAAAATATTCCTAGGCTCTAAAGCTGAGTTCACTGCCACAGCGAGATCAGATAGGACCCAGCCACCAGTCAGAAAAAGACAACGGCATGCAAAACTCTTACACATAATTTTATACAAAAACCTTAAGCTAACAGTCTTCTTTTTTTTTTTTTTTTTTTTTTTGGTTTTTCGAGACAGGGTTTCTCTGTGTAGCTTTGCGCCTTTCCTGGAGCTCACTTGGTAGCCCAGGCTGGCCTCGAACTCACAGAGATCCACCTGGCTCTGCCTCCCGAGTGCTGGGATTAAAGGCGTGCGCCACCAACGCCCGGCTAACAGTCTTCTTTAAAAAAAAAAAAAAAAATCTTTCTTTTTTATGGATGTGTGTGAGCCTGTGAGTTTATGTTTCTTGTGCATGCAGGTGAGGTGGGGGTGAAGACGAGAGTATCGGGTCCCCTGGAACTGGAGCTACAGGGCAGCTGTGAACTGCCAGGTGGGTGCCGGGAATTGAACCTGGGTCCTCTGAAAGAGCAGCCAGGGTCCTTAACTACTGACCTGCCTACCTATCCAGCTCCTCACAGTCTTTCTAGTCTGTTTCAGGGTGTCCCGGTTGCTGCTCTGAATTCGCTATATTTTGCTCCCTCCTCCAAGCTGCTTTCAAAAAAGGAAAGTCAAACTTGTTGTCTCCAGATTCCTTGGAATCCGTATGTAAGTCAACACAACACAGAGCCTGTGTAATTCGTATTTAACGGCAATGATCATGTTTTCATATCATTTTCCTATCTGAAGCAGAGAGTTTACACAGGAATGTGCAGATGGCGGTATGTGAATATGGAATACAAGCTCTGCAGACATTGCCATTCCTTAAACATCATCACATCTTAGAGCATAAGGACTTACGCTCCCTCTTCCTAAATACCCACCCCTCCCCAAGTCCATCTGGCTTATTGTTAAGGGCCTTCACAAGCGTGACCTTGTCAGAGACCCTCCCTGCTGACGATCCACTTACTCCCTATCGTCCCTCCAACTCAGCACTATATTTCTTCATAAAACTTATCACTGGATGATACATTGTTTATTATTTGATTTACTTTCTGTGTCCTCCTAAAAGAATATAAGCTACACTCACACACACACACACACACACACACACACACACACACACACACACACACAAAGTCCAGGCTAGAACAGTGCCCTATACAGGGTAAGTGTTCGATAGCTATTTGTTAAATGACTTGTAGAGCCTTCAAGCAATATACATTTTGGAATGTTTGTATAGAATTAAACTGCACCTTATATGACATTCTAAATTACTTCAATTGTATGCTTATTCCTCTTTCTTTCTTTTTTTTGGGGGGAGGGGGTTTGAGACAGGGTTTCTCTGTGTAGCTTTGCGCCTTTCCTGGAACTCACTCTGTAGCCCAGGCTGGCCTTGAACTCACAGAGATCTGCCTGGCTCTGCCTCCCTCCCAAGTGCTGGGATTAAAGACATGTGCCAGCACCGCCCGGTGCTAATTCCTCTTTCTAAGTTCAAAGTTTCACTGTGCAGGCCAATGTGGTGGTAGAATAAGAATGGCCCCCTTAGGCTAATGTATTTTGATGCTTAGACGCTAGGAAGTGGAACTATTTGACAGGATTAGAAGGATTAGGAGGTGCGGCCTTGTTGGAGGAAGTGTGTCACTGGGGGTGGGCTTTGAGGTTCAGTCTTCCTGCTGCCTGTGGATCAGGATGTAGAACTCTCAGCCACTTCTCCAGCACCATGTCTGCCTGTGTGCTGCCATGCTCCCTGCCGTGATGATAATGGACTAAACCTCTGAAACTGTAAACCAGCTCCAACTAAATGCTTTCCTTTATAAGAGTTGCCTTGGTCATGGTGTCTCTTCACGGCAATAAAACAGTGACAAATCAGACTCAAAGTTGTGGCCTCAAACTCCTTATTCTCCTGCCTCAGCCTCCTAAGTGCTGAGATTAAACAAAAGTAACACTATGCCCAGAGTAAAGTTGTTTTTTCCTTTTTTTTTCTTTTTGCACTTATTTATTTTATTTTGTAGGTATAAGGGACATATAACTTTACACCAGCATATATATGGAGTTCAGAGAACAACTCGTGGGAATCAGCTCTCTCCTTCCACTATATGACTTCTGGGGGTTGAACTCAGGTCGTCAGGCTTGGCCACAAAGAGCGTCTGTCCTTGAACCATCTTGCCAGCCCCTCAGGGGATTTTCAACAGATAGTTCATCTACAGACATACAGTTTGGAAGTGCATATTGAGTTCATTTTCTTTGTATTCTAATGAAAGTCCCTTCAGCAAGTGTATCTGAGACGCCATAAACAATTGCCCTGGTGCCCAGTGTGTGCTCGCTGCCCCAAGTACTTCCCTCTACTCACTCCAGCCTCTCAGAGCCAGCGGCACAGCTATGACCCTGCCTTCCAGAGGAAGAGGCCAATTCAGAGAAAGCTTGTCATCTGCCCAAGGGTACCCAGCTAACAAAAGGCAGAGCCACTACTCTGCCCCAGGAGTCCAGCAGCCTGGCCTCCACCCAAACTCTTAACTACCTTCTACAGACCTTTAGACCACAGAAGAGGACAACTGTAGCTTGTAGTCAGGAAAATATCAGTTTTCCATTTCTTGGACATTGTACTTAAAGTGAGAACATCACACTGCTGTGGTTGTTTAAAATGTCCAAATTGTCCTTTCTAAAGTTTCTAGAAAAGAGTAATTGCTTAGTCCATAGACCATCAGTTTTCAAACTATGCATCACAACCCCTTTGGGGGTCAAACGACACTTTCACAGGGGTCACATATCAGATATCCTACATATCAAATATTTACAATATGGTTCATAGCAGTCACTAAATTACAGTTATGAAGTAGCAACGAAAATAATCTTATGGTTGGGGATCACCATGACATGAGGCTCTGTATTAAAGGGTCGAAGTATTAGGAAGGTTTAGAACCATTGCTGTAGACATTAGCAAGGAATTATCATTGGTTGCTGCTTTTCTCTCCCTACTAAGCAGCTTTCTATATACAAGCTGCCCCATGCTGAATTTTCAGAATCACCCTAGTCATTCAGGTAAGGGATGCATTTCCATAATAACTTGTAAATGTCCCCAGAAGAAGGCAGCGGAGTCCCTGTAGCTTGGGACAAGCATGGGCCTTGCTTGCTTGGGAATGTTCCTGAGGGAGACCTCAGAGCAATCACACCCTGGCACATACAGTTTTCATTCTTAGTTTTATTGTTGTTTTGTTTTTCCAGACAAGGTTTCTTTGTGTAGACCTGGCTGTCCTGGGACTCGCTCTGTAGACCAGGCTGGTCTCGAACTCAGAGATCTACCTCCCAAGTGCTGGGATTAAAGGAGTGTACCACCACTGCCAGGCTTCATTCTTAGTTTGTCCTGGTCTAGTCAAGATGATAATGACCTCTGTGGGCACCAGATGCCCTTCTGAAGTAGACATCACTTTAAAAACTGATTCTATATATCTGATGAATGTGAGAAACGTGTTTTGTCTGATTATAATGTTGTACAGCACACTGGAATTTCTGCCAAGTCCATCTGGGAAAACAGCTTGGCAGGTTTTCCAAGTTTCAAAAGCAGGTGTGAAGTAAACTTCAGATTTCTAGGGTGATGAGTACCGAGGCCAGGCTCGGATGACCATTGTTTGCCACCAAGCGCCGTTCCCTAGGAATCTGTGCAAACACCGGCTGTGGACTTTCAATTGCCTTTGCAAATAGCTAGTTGTGTTTCCTGCCAATTTTGCTTCATTTTCTGATGCAAATGGCAGATGTGCCAGTAAGTGTCTATGAGTTTGACTGAACTGTGTTGCGTTCTTTTTTTATCCTGGTAATTTTGGATTTCAGAAAAGTGAAGGTGTTGAAAAAGAGTTCACAGATTTCAAAATTTCCCATTAACATTTGTTAAAGAGCAAAGAGTTTGACATTTCTCCTGAAGCAGCTGCTCTAAATCACTATTGATTGCCTTGATGTGAAGTTCTAGAAATAAACAGAAGTCTTGTCTCACAAATGCTCATGCTATGATTTAGCCAAGGTTCTCTGTCTTCACTTCCCAAACAGCTAATCAAATCCTGCACTTTGATGTCAATCTATGGACCTAATATCATTAGTTTTCCCATGTCACATTCTACTTAAAGTAAAGGAAATAAATCCAATCACGTCTTTAAAAGTCACTTTCCAGTGGGGCTGGAGAGATGGTTCGACATTAGAAAGCCTCTAGATGAAAACAAAAGCCAGGGTATTTCTTTTCATATGGGTCTGAGTTCTGGTCTCTATGACTTGTAATTTCTAACTTTCTAGTGATAGTTGTGGGGAGTGGATGGAGTCCTGAGTGAATGTGTATTGTTGCCATGGACACAATCATGTCAAAGACCCCAGTGCCTTACATGGGAATTGGCAAAGCCTGGCCAGGTCAGGCTCAGGGAATTGTCAAAACCTTCCTCTGCTCCATATACGGATGTTGACAATGTGTTCAAAAGCTAGCAGCCATACCTTCTTCCTCTGGGATGACTGCAACCAGGGACTGCTCTGCAACAAGAGTCCTCCTATGGAGATGTGCCGAACTGGCCTCCTTGTTCAGTTGTATACAGTAAACCTGCCTCCTAAATTCAGACGTCTGAACTAAACTTGACGATGTTTCTGGGTTGCTGTTGTGGGAGGTACCCTCCATCAGAGTGACCACAGCCCACCCAGCCCCAGCTTTTCTGCTTGTGTCTCTAGTCTTTCTTCAGTCCCACTTCACCTTAGTCAGAGGACCCAGCCACGCAGGATGTGGCAGACAGTCACTTGTAAGATACAGACTGGAATGGTGAGGAGTTCTCTTAATATTGGAATTTTGGCTGGCCCATCTTATAAACTAAAAGATTTCTGAATGTAGACTATATACTAGCTAACTAGGCAAGGTATGGTGGTACATGCCTGTAATCCCAGAACTTGGAAGTCT